CGGGGAGGGTACCCCGCGCCCCGCTGCTTCATGGGCCTGGGAGGTACCCTCACCACCCGACTCGACCCTCCAAACCCAGCTGCCGTAATGAAAAACCCTCCCGGTGAAAGGATCTCCGCGCATGAGGACCTCGAGACTCGCTTCCAAGTCAGGAGCGGAGGCCGGTGCAGCGTACTCTTGATTAAGCAGATGGTCGTTCCATTTAAGACCGGCCAGGGGAGTGACGAAAGGGGGAAACTCGATGAAAACAAACTTTTCCTTCCACCCCCGGTTACTCTGGGGGACTTCGGAAATAAACTTCCTACCGGTGCGGCCTTTGAAGTATACGAAACCTTCGCAGCCGGTTCCGCCCGGTAGGACCTCAAAACAAAAAAGAAAAAGGCGCAAGGAAGGCTCAATTTTGAGGTGGGAACAGATATTTACAAAGGAGTGAAGATACCGGTGGGCGTTAGGAGTTATCTGGCCGGGTAAAATCCTAAACGCATGGCATACTTCGGTTAGGAGGGGGCGAAGGGGAAAAACGATGCCCGCGTCTAAGGAGATCGTATGAAACCCTATTCTATCCTCCCGGTGGGGTTCGACAATGTTGGGCCAGTCATGTTCATACACAAGGGTGTACCCATCCGGGAGCCTTCTACGGATTTTGTTCAAAGCAATTTTGGATACATGGGAAGGAATATCAAGAACATAAAAGGTGGGGAGTGGAAAGTAACCGGCAACGTGGAGCCGCTCCTCCCAGGCGTCCCGGGTTTCGTTTTCAGGGTCATATGGACCCGGCTCCTCATCGACCGGTTCACGCCTCCTCGTCAGAATACTACCGGGCATCTGATTAACTGGTTGCGGATTGGGGAAAGAAGAATTTGGAACTTGACCGGTACTGGGGTGAGAAGACCCGGTCAAAGAAGAGGAGTCCTCAGAGGAGCTGTCCTCTGAGGACGAAACCCTATCGCTACCTAAGGGAGACATAACCGGGAAAGAAAAAAGAGATGGAGAAAAAGCTTACTTGACTCGGAGGGCTGAGAAGCGAGAAAGAGATTGACCGGTGAAAGCTCTGAAGGATGGAATGGCGAAATGTGAGCAAGTGAGAGGGTTGAAAGCCTTTATATAGGAGGAGGGAGGCCAAAGTAGGCGACGTGGCGCCTTGTGATTGCGCCACAACGGGCGGCGCAATGATGATACTTTGGCAGACGAAAGGACGCGGGGACAGCCGACTGTTGCAGCAGCTGGATTTCAACACGTGGCGAGTTCTTCCAAATTTGAAATTCAAATTTTGAAATTTCCAGGCGGGAAAAGCCCAAAATTCGAAATTTGAAGTCCTGTTTCAGATTTTTTACTTCCCGCTCATGACAAAATTGCATAACCGAGAAGTGGAGGGCTTAATGATGGGTGTATTTCACCCATGACCGGTCAAAGGTCAAGACCGGATAGTTGACCGGTCAAAGAAGTCAAACTTGCAAGAGAGGTCTGGATCGTCGGCGAAGGGATGATTGGTTGACCAAAAGGTTGACCGGTATACTTCGGATAGTATACCGGTCGAACTATACCGGCGTCTAATTCACCCTACGAAGTTGGCCACGCCAACCTACAAGAACCAACCGGTGCAGTTCCTAGAGATTGGGGGAGTGTCGGCAGGAGGAATCCAAAAGGACTTGGACTGTAGTGTTTGGAATTGCAGGGATGCTGAGGGAATATTTCCAAACCAGAACGCGACAAGGGCGCCACCCCCCGCGCAAGATGACAAGGCAGCTCAGAGCCAGTCACTTCACACCACGCCAGCAGCATGCCCCCACGTGGGCGCACGTGGTCCTGCCCCCAGCCTAGTATATATATCTCTTGTAACCCTCGAATAAGGGGATCCAAATTCACTCTCTCTAAACTCCCTTGTAAAAGTGACCGGGCACTCTCCGTTTTAATATAATTCGGGCTACAGGTGTTCCACCTAAAGTCCTACCGGTCATTCTGAGTGTTTTTACTTTCTTTACTTTACTGAATCAAGCCAACAATTCTATACCCGGTCTAGTATAGTTTGACCGGTCAAGTAATTTACACCATCAGATTGTGCAAAAAATAAATTCGAATGGGAGAATTCGATTCTATCTAATTCAATTCCATAACATTTCAATCCTAAACCAATTCCAATTCAATCAATTTTGTGTTCCAAACGAACCCTTACAATTTGCTAACGGCAAAAGGTATGCTTTAATTTGTAGATGTTCTTAGTTTTGGTATGGTTTAGTCAATTTTTTGACATGGTATTAGAGTCATGTTTAATACTATGATATCAAAGCTTGTAAATAGTGTAACGGCTTGGTTCGATGACTTTGAGAATCAATGTCATGTGATGATTCGGAGTGCCTACGGGACTCCGTTTGAAAAATTGACATTTCCTACTCCTCCTAACCCTCTTATTAAAAATTTGAAAAAATTAAGTTTTGGTTGAGTTGGCTTGGTGGGACTATTGTGTTTAATTCCTCTTTCCTTGTTCCAAGTTTTTAACCTTTACAATTGATAGTATGACTGATCGAATTGCCACTAATACTGCTTGTTGCTGGCACCTTCCGTTGTTTCCAATCCCATGCACAAAGTGGGCGGTGACAAATGCTAAATCACATGTTGGTTTATTCGTTGTTTTCTCTCCCTTGGTGCAAAAAACACATGCATCTCCATGGTTTCTCCACCACTAAACTGTCTTCAGATTCAGTACAACTCTTTTTGTTCGTACTCATATTTTCTTTATCAGAAGAAAAGCTTCAAAATCTTCGCAAGGTTCGGATTCTATTCAAACATATATACTCGATAATGTTCTTGTCAATATTGTGGCAGAACTTGATCGTGCGCATGAGCCAATCTTCGAAGAGGATATAATTTTCCGGGCTCTCTGAGTACGTACCAGTTGGCTGATCTTCTAACGAAGCCGCTGCGCTTCACAATGCTTCCAATAGCTCACGCTCAATCTTCCCCTAGCTTTTGCTCTGCTCGGGGGAATTAGGCATAAAAAGAAATACAGAATATTTATTTATTGTATTGGAAAATGTGAGTACATATGAGGTTTAACTCCTAATCATCGATCACATTTTTCTGTCATTTGCGTATGTTATACCGTTTCAGTCATACATTATTACTCCGTAATTGAGGAAAATCGTTTTTCCATCAATACGGAGACTTTCTCGAATCGCATGAATACCGTGACGAAGACGAGGATGAGCTGCAGATTGATGGATCTTGAATGTGTTGCTTTTCTGTTGAGAGCTTTAAAACATGTAGGAGGGGCTGGAATTCATGCGATGGATGATCCCTGGAACATTTGTCATGTCATTAATGGTTTTCAGACATCAGTTGGATAACTTGCTAATCACCTGTTCACAGATCAGCTTTCTCTCTCTCTCTCTCTCTCTAACAGATTAAGCATTCAAGGGAAACAAAACCATTTCAGAATAATGGCGTTTGTTTCTGACAAATACCCACTCTATACATTTACAAAGAAAACATAATATCCAGGATGAGAATCTAAGTAGATGTTCTTGTTCTTACCTGCTGCTCGAAAAATTTAAAAACAAAAAAAAGAAGCCAAGAAACATTGGTAATCTCTTTCATTTCCGAAATTCTCTTACTACTCTTTTTCTCTTACTGCTCGGTAATTCTCTTACTACTCTTTTTCTCACTTCCACCAGAAACATTGGTAATCTCTTTCATTTCCGAAATCAGCTGATTTGCACCCCCCAAACACTGCAGGCTCTTGAAACCACAATTGTCGAATCCTTGGTGGTTCAACATTGTCCCCTCCGAACCCATTCCTCCTGAACCACCGCCGGGTTGGAAGCAATAGAGTGAATCTCTCCCATTGCATTGAACATTGCAATGGTTCACATCATCTCTGCGGCTCCTCATTTGCTGCTTTTCGTATGGAAAGCACCCGATCACGCCCTCAATCCTCCCCCTTATATCCACAAGCAGACACTTGAGCCTTGCCACCTCAGCTTCAAGCGCGGCCTGCCCTTGCAACCTCTTCACCAGTTGCTGGTTTAGAGCCCTCAGCCTCACAACCTCTTCCTCCAACAATGCCGCCCTTGCCTTCTTCTTCTCCCTGTACTTGCGGACCGCTTCCCGGTTCCCCAACGGCCGTTTCTTTCCTTCCTTCCTGTCATCCACGGATTCGGCAGTGTCCTCGCCGCTGGGTGCCGCCTTATCATGGTCGCCGGAAGCGACAGGCGGCACGATTTTGGTGTGGACATGGTAACAAGTGTGGGTGTGTGAGTTGTCAGGCCCAGGTGGGTTGCAGGTGTGGGCATGAGTGCAGGCATGACTGTCCTTCAAAAGCTCATTCCAAAAGCTGTCCGTTAAGCTGCTTTCTGCATCCTCCATTTTTTTCCCTGAACTAATATATGTATGGCCTCCTTGCACCGACAAGACAATCAAACCCTAGAAAAGACAGGCAGATAGACAATGATCAACATGAAAAATTGAATCTTTAAACCTAAGACTTCAAATTAGCAGGCGCCAAATCTGGGTTTATCCAGAAAGGGTCTTTAACGACAACCCATCAATCAGCCATTACAAGCGGTAAATTTGGGAACTTTTAGTAGGAATTGAATGCGAAAGAAAGTTTACCTTGGGGGGGGGGGGGGGTAAAGAAGAACTAAGTCATCACAATTGAAAAATCCCAGAAAAAAGATGGAAATACAAAGAGTATGTCAAAAGTTTGAACAGGCCGGGGGAGATACGAATGCAGGGAGATGGGGTCAGGTTATATTCCGTAACTCTCTTTCTCCGTTTCTCGCGGCCAAGGACAATCATTCCATATTCCCCACCCATTGTTTTTCAAGGACGTGTTTGGGTTAGCTACTTGGCATTTTTACACAAGTAGGACTTTTACCCTTTCAAACAAATAAAAGTAGGGGACTTTTACATGTTGGCCATCCCCTCCCCAATAAGGTTTTGATTTGAAATTGGTATGATTATTATGATGAGTGAAAGAAGGACCTTATTTTAAGACATACCAAAAAATGAAATATGGAACCATTTTTATGTAGGCAAATTTTGGTGAATCTTTATATGATATTGTTGAGACATTATTTTTTAGTTCAAACAAAAAAATTTGTGAGAGAAAAAAATTTGATAATTACTCTCAAATAGGTTATGAGTTTGAGAGGGTGTTTGGAAATGATTAACTTGTGGGTATGTAGAAAATGGTCGTGAAGAAAAGCAGAAATTGGTATGCTAAACAGAATAAAATGATTATCACTTAAAACATAAGCTAAATTCTGGAAAAAAAAAACGCAATGCCAAACACTCTAAATTTAAATTTAATACTTTGAGCTTCCCGTCCTATCGGGGAAAATATGACCCACTTTAGTTAATAATTGTAATTTCAAGTCCACAACAAATATAAATTACAACAACAACAACTCAATTGAATCCCACTACAACAAATATAAATTAAAACTAAATTATTGTTGTACCAAAAAAAGGATAAAAACTAAATTATTCCAAGTCTCAGTTCATCGTTTTTTCAATTCACTTCAATAAAAGATAAAAATTGCTACTGTATAAGAGTTGAAACTAACATTCTGAAATTTATTATTGGATTTTTGCCAAGTGAAACTGAGCAGAAACACTTCCTGCTGTCTACACCCTAAAACTCAAATGAAACACCTCATCAGTGGGTGCCAGATTTTTTGTATGACCGTAAAACAAGAAGTTAGCTAAAGTATATAGAGATGTGCAGAAAGAGGCTAGTCAAAGCTGCTTGAAGATCTGCTCCATCTTTTGTTCATGTATGCTTCCACAGATGGTGGGCTGCTATGATCCACACTGCTGAATGATGATGAGGAGCACTCATTCTCGTCGAGCAAGGCAAGACTTAAGTGTGACTCTGCTGCACTTAATTCGGGATAAACTTCATCATCGTTCCCATCCATTTCCATGTTCTTCGAATCATGTTGATTCTCAGCTTGTATGTGCATTTCTTCATCAATCTCTTTCCCTCCTCTTATCATCTTCAGTATCTGGTGTAGGATTGGAATGTGTGTTCTATATTGGTGTCTGTACATATATATCAAATTTAAACTCCCTATTCGTTTTTTACCTGTCCGATATTGGGACGAGTACGAGCTGATTGTGTAAGGCACATTCTTGCTGCAAGACCCATTCTTTGCACCAGAGATTCATCATCTCCATTTACATTCAAATTTTCATCAAGTATGCCTTTCAAATTCCCTCTCTCTAATTTTGGCTTTGCCTGAAAAATAAAATTACATAAGGTTTACCATGAAAGATGAGTAGGAGTATTTCTGCCCATCAAGCTCAAGATTAGGAGTAATTTGCCTATATGAGAGACTCTTAACACTTCTTACCCACATAACTAAGCTTTCTTGACCACCACGAGTCTCAAATCCAATGGCTCTTCTCCCGGATAACAATTCCAAAAGCACAACGCCAAAGGAGTAGACATCAATTTTGTCACTCACTTTTCCATACATAAAATACTCCGGAGCAAGATAACCAAAGGTTCCCAGCACATCAGTATGGGTCACAAAGGGTGTAGTTGTGGGTCCCCATATCGCTAACCCAAAGTCAGATAACTGCAAACAAACAGCCAACTAGCAGAGCACATCTTGGAGTGAGTTAACTCGTGCAGTGTGTGATGAGATAGGTAGAATACCTTTGGTTCAAACTGATCGCCAAGAAGAATATTTGATGACTTGACATCTCTGTGGATGATAGGCTGAGGGCATTCATTGTGCAGGTAATCCAGGGCTTCGGCAATCTCTATGGCTATTCTAAACCTTACTGGCCAAGACAGCAAAGATTTTGTCTTTCCCTTTCCTAACATGACAATAAACTCCAGATTACGATTACATTTTATTTGATAGAATTCATAATTGTGTTAGGATCATCGTATTTAGACTTGAAGTTTCATCACAGAAAGTCAAGCCCATAGTTCATCGCATGTTGGTTTCCATTGTTATATTTGCAATATTCACTTCTGAAAGAATAGAATGGGAAAAAATTGTTTGTTGAACACTCAAACTTACCATGTAAATTTTCTTCCAAGTTTCCCTTAGAGAAAAGATTGTAAACAGATATCAAATCATGGTCTTTAATACAAATTCCAAGTAGGGGCACAATGTTTTTGTGTTTGACTGCAGCCATGATGCCGATTTCCCGTGTGAAATCTGCCCAAGTTTCTTGTGATAATTTTAGAATCTTGACAGCAACTCGTTTTCCATTGGGAAGAAGTCCCTTGTATACTTTGTTACAGCCTCCTTCACTAATTAAGTTCTCTGCACAACTCACCGGTATGTAAGTAAAAAAGGCTAGTTTTAAGAGGGATTTAGATATAGTCAACTAACATTTCAACTAACCGGATGAGAATTGACAAGTGGATGCTCTGAGAACACTATAACTGAACCATTTGAAAGCAGAAGAGTTCAAATCAATCAGAATCTTCAAATCACTGTTTCCACTCTTATCTGAAAAGCTGCAGTTTTCTTCTTCTTCTTCGGAGGTGCTTTCGCTCTTTGGTCTATAATGGGATCTAGGAGAGTGTAACAAAGACCTGTTTGGCAATGTCATTACCCACTGAACCACTGACATTTTCCTGACTAGCTTAGCAAGAGCAGTATCATCTGTTGAAGAGTGTGTCAGGTCCATTAACTATGAACAATAATAATTAAACTCTTTGAAAAATGTTTGACAATTCTTACCTCTTGGTGGGATTAAGTTATGCCAAACCTTATTCTTAAGGGGTTCAGTTCGAAGAAGGGGCCATCCGGGTTCAATATCACACCCTCCTACATCCTTTGTATCATCACCACGGTCTTCTTCTCTCAATATTTGTCTAAGGCTACGCCTTCCCAATCCGCCAGGTTCAGATTGGCTTTCCCATAACGTGCTACTTCCTTCCTTATAGAAGAAACTTGGTCTAGGATCTCCAGCAGCCCCTACCACCATCAAGATACAATTTTGTTACTCTTTTTTTTTTCTTCAAAGAGAAGAGAAAAACCAAATACTCTAGTTCTATAACTCAAGTAGAGCTGATCATTAAATTGAACCTGTGTATTGACGTGAATTGGGTCCTCTTCTGAACACAATCCTCCCATTGTCAATGGCCATGACTTCAACAGAGGTGGGCAGTCGTCTTACGCAGTATTTAGCAATGGAAGTCCGGCCCCTAAAAGAGACAAGCCTCCCCCAATCAACAAATTAACTAATGCAATAGTGTATGTACATTTAGTATCCCTTACTTACCCAAGAGCTACGGCCATGCTCGTGCCGACTATCACAGCTACAGCACCATTCTTCTTTGCTTCCCTCACCAGCACCTTTCTAATGGAACTTCCTTTCAAAACCTGTGCTTTAAGATAAACCTGAAATCCCCCACCCACCATAGTATCTTAATTAATTCTTCTTTTCTTCACCCCCACCAGCCGGGCCAGGCCAGCGTTTGTATAAAATGTTAGTTTGACATCTCAACTGGGAAATATCTAACCTGTTTTTCAGTACATATGCCGCTGTAACCCTCCATATAACTATCCAACGAGTATTTGCCTTCAGCATTAGAGTCTAAAACGGCAACACAAATGCATTACCATGACGACGATCCAGCCTTATTCTTAACACACATGGAAGGAAGCTAGAAAGTTATACCTGAATTGCTACAAACGTGAATAGCAACCACACAGTCCCCGGGATCAGCAACCTTCACCAGAGCCCAATCAATCAACTCTGCAGTGTGGCTGCTATCAAACCGGACTCCTACCAAAACATTCCTTTTCCCCGAGTCCTTAACCATCACAAATGTCATGATTTTTTTCCCCTGTCAATATTTAGTCACCACATGGAAACTCCGCGGGGATGATATCACAGAAGCATGCCTCCTCGAGCTCAAAGGACCACGAATCCAATGCTCCACGAGACATTGACCATGAATCCAAGCCCTCCTCTAGTAATATTTAATGAAAGAAAGAAAGAAAGAAAAGGACGCATTGTCCCGATTAGAAAACCCAAAACTTGGGTCGTAAGGTATCAACTAAAAAAAGAATATTCATTCCATTTCAAACAAGAAATCGAAAGCAAGCAATGCTAGGGATTATTAGACCCAGAAATATGCATCATCAAGCCAAAACATACTGATAAAAAAAATGATGGTTGAATACCCACTCGAAAAGCAATGAATTTTAGGAGACAAGAAAGGCAAGGCCTACCCAAAATTCGAACCCATTTATACTCCGAAGCCATCAATTGAATTATTCCCCGACTTCTAATCTTCCAGAGGTTGTTGCTTCGCTGACGAGAAAGGCTACTTCCCCTTCTCCTTTATTGATTGATTATTACGGAGTAATAATAATAATAAATTAGGATATAGAAAAGGAGTCTGTTTCAAAAGGGGAATTTCTGAATAGAATGGGTATGGAGACGGGGAGGGGGAAAGGTGCGAGACAAGATTGGTTACCGTCGTTGTGAATTCCCGCGAAAAGCGGATTGGTACTCCTCCCCTCTCATTTGCACGAGGAGTAGGATTTCGTTATAGAGATGGCCATTGTGGACCAAGATCATCATCACTTCACGACTGGATCTAGCCCGACCGGATTTAGGACTGACCTTTCCAGAAAACCCAGTTGAGGACCAGACCAGTTTTTTTTTGTTCATAGTGGAGTTTAACTTTTCTTTTTTCAATTTTAATTTTTATGCCCACAATATTAGTGTCACTGAGACTGTGTTTGGTATGCGGAATTCAAATTATAAAATTGGAATTATAGGTAATACGGAGTAATTTCAATTATATTATTTTGTAGTATAAAAATATATAAAATTGGATTTGGTAGTGCAAAAAATGAACTGGAACGGGAGAATTCAATTCCATCCAAATCAATTTCATAGAATTTCAATTCTCAAAAAACAAGATTATAACTACTCATTCCGTCTCTAATTTGATTACAATTTTTTTCTCTCTCCTCTCGATAACTTTTGTTTATTTACGCGATTTCATAAAATAAATTATTTTTGTCACTTCTTGTTTTGTAGAACTTTTGATATAGCTTTTTAATATGTAATTTTTATTTTTTTATCGATATACTAATTTCTAAATAAAATAATTTTAAAAAATGAGATATTTTTTCTCGTAATCTCCAATTTGTAATCAAATCTGGGATGGATTAATATTTTGTAAAGGATGAGGTATCTTTGAAAAAAAATGGGCCCATATATCTATATGCGGAGTAAGTCTGTCCGATTCTGCTTTAAAAAAACAAAATTAAAAAAAAAATCAATTTGTTCGAGGAAGCTTGGGAATATGGGAAACTCGGGTAAGGAGTTCTGAGTTTTATTAGAGTTGAGGTATTGAGAGTTTTGAGAGGTTGAGCTTAGTTGAGGTTGATGGGATTTCCCCTGAACTGAATTACGGCGGTGCAGAAATGGGCTTCTTCAGTTCCATCATTGGGTTTTGTGGATTTGGAGTTGGCTTGACGGCCGGGCTCGTGGTTGGCTACTATTTCTTCATCTATTTCCTCCCCACCGATGTTAAGGTACTTTCTTTTTTCTTCATCTATAAACAATTCTTTAAATTATTTGAATTCGTTTAAGTAGCTAGCAATGCTAAAGCAGTTTTGAGCTCCTAGTTGGTGCAATTTCCTTGTTTGTAAAGGGTTGTAATGCAGAAATTATGTCCTTTAGCTATTAGATATTTATCCATTTATGGGCACTGGCATGCATTCTTCTTGTTAAGAAATTAGATGAATGAGAAATGTGTTTTCGACATGATCAGGACCCTGTCATCCGGCCGCTGGTTGAGCAAGACACTCAAGCTTTGCAAAAATTGATCTCAGAAATCCCTCTTTGGGTAAAGAATCCAGATTATGACCGAGTATGTTTTTTTTGTGACCTTTATTGTGCAGTTCATTGCATTCCATTCTAACTCAACTTCTTAGAACCTGATACATTTCCCCCACTTATTTTAAGGTTGACTGGATCAACAAGTTCCTTGAGTACATGTGGCCCTATTTGGACAAGGTAATTCTCTGTTTTTGGCATTGTTTTGATAATCCAACGTTAGAAGGCCATATTATCCACTCTCGGCCCGTTCCCTTTGACAGGCCATATGTAGGACTGCCAAGACCATTGCTAAACCGATCATTGCCGAGCAAATCCCAAAGTATAAAATTGACTCTGTCGAATCTGAGACGCTGACTCTGGGGTCTTTGCCTCCAACACTGCAAGGTTCTTGTCTTGGATGATTGATCATTTATGAATCTGTTATTTCTCCTTATTTCGTATATAGTTTTGAAGGGTTGTGGGGCAAACGTAGCATGTTTGGTAAATATTTTTTCGAGTGATAAATTCATCCAATTACATTTTTCAGTTTTTTGGTTGGCATATGCTTATTATTTTGGGAATTGACATCCAAAGTGGGTGTGTAAGGCAGTCCGGTTTCTCTTGTGAATATGTGTTCATTTCCATCTCTAAGTTTTTACAGTTTTTGTTCTCTTCCAGGTATGAAGGTCTATCTTACTGATGAAAAGGAATTAATCATGGAGCCATCCCTTAAATGGGCAGGGAATCCTAATATCACTGTTCTTGTTAAAGCATTTGGTTTAAAAGCAACTGCCCAGGTTTTGCATTTGTCTATAAATATAGATACTTCTCTTTTTCTTCTTCTTCTTCTTTTTGCTAAAATCTTGATTAAAAAATAACCTAATAATGGATATTTCAGGTTGTAGACTTTCAAATCTTTGCAGCCCCACGTATCACCCTTAAGCCTTTGGTCCCAAGCTTTCCTTGTTTCAGCAAAATAATTGTGTCACTTATGGATAAGGTATCACTTGGCTTTAATGTCTAGAAATCTCCTACTCCGTAACTAGTAAAAGAGAATTCCACAAATTGAACTGGAACTCGGTATATTGTTACTTGTCATGCCATTATGCTCCTCATTTATAGAAAATTGTGGTCATCTTTGATTCTTTGTAGGTACATGTTTGAAATTTAACAAAGCCAAAGAAATAATTATTACTGCATAGGCATTTCAATATAGCTGAATATATTGAATATCATGAAGAATATCATTTGTTTCAAACACTACTACATATGTATATCCATATTGTGGGGTACTCAATAAATTCAGGGACGCAAATTTTTTTAGTGGGAATCCCGCTATAAAATTGTTAAACTATTATTACGGAGGACTCAGTAATAATTAAACTCCTAACGCTTCTATGATTCCTAATACAAATTTGGGAAACTGCCATAATAACATCTAGAAACACTATTTTAAATGTGAATCCAGGCAGTTTACTCAATCATGCTATCTTCAGATGCTAAATAACTTTATATTAAAAAAAATCTTCTTAACTTGCTTATTCTGTGTAAATAATGAAATTGACACTTTATGTTTCTGTTTTATTTTTGAAATCAGGTTTGTTTACGTACATACTGCCACGTAGATGGTTAATTGGTGTTTTCACTGATTTTAGGAAAATGGAAAATGAAACAGGAGGGAAGATGATATAAATGCCATACCAAAAATTAACACAAATTTGCGTGAAAAAGTTAACGCCAAATTTTAAATGCTTGCACAATTGTATTTTTTGAGTTAACTTTGGTTCACTCAACGCCATATGCCCCGTTTGGCATTAGCATTAGAGTCTAGCTTTGGTTTTTCAAAAATGCCATCCAAAAATTGCTTTTAGCTTTAGCGTTTTTGGACGCTCGTCCACACCTTTAAAAACTTATCCAAAACTTTAACGCTAATTACAAATGGTATTCCCAAATGGAGCCTTAGTACACACTAATGTTTTAGAATGGGGTACATATTGGGGTCATTTTTTTTCCACTATCCCCTCAAGTGCCTATTTTTGGCGTTTGTAGCCACATGTTGACTTTGGTTTGAAGATTCTTGGTGCTGATCTCATGTCAATTCCTGGGTTATACGGGTTTATCCAGGTATTTCACCTTCTACTTTTATCTCTCTCTCTCTCTCTCTCTCTCTCTCTCCCCCCCCCCCCNTTGTTTCATAAGCTCAAAATCCTCAAATAGAATTGTTCTGAAATGGCATATATGGATAAATGAAGGCGATATATTCACATTTATGCACTATGGGTTTATGACTCAAGGCGGCTTATTTTTTTAATGAGAAATTATTTTATGCTTTTTTTGTTGTCAAGCTGTGATTTTAAAGTTTCTTTTAATCTGGTAGGATGGTGGAACCCATGCAGGGAACAATTATAGTGACTGTTTATTACCTTATTCTGATCTTTTCAAATTATAGTTTATTGTGTATATCAATTGTTTCCTCCTTATCAACACTTTCATTTTTTGAAAGAAAGAGTCTGATTCATATTACATATCATTGTGTGCTATATGGTTGAAATAAAGTACATTCCATAGTGCATTATGGCAATTTTCACTTTATGCTTACTTGCACGAGCAAAAACTAAAACGTGAAAGAGCATCCTCTGCAGGACATCATTAAAGATCAGGTGGCTAACATGTATCTGTGGCCTAAAGCTCTGGAAGTGCAAATTTTAGACCCTTCAGTGTATGCTTCTGACTTCAATTTTTTTACCACAGCTTTATGGTTTAGTTTTGTGGATAACTAAATGTGTTTAGCAACTTATGTGATGTGTAGAGCCACAAAACGGCCTGTAGGGATTCTTCACGTGAAGATTTGTAGAGCAACAAACCTGAGAAAGAAAGATTTACTTGGAGCTTCTGATCCCTATGTCAAACTCAAACTCACAGAGTCAAAGGCCCCATCAAAGAAGACTTCTGTGAAGCACAAAAATTTAAATCCAGAGTGGAATCAGGACTTTCAAATGGTTGTTAAAGATCCAGAATCTCAAGTACTTGAGATATATGTTTATGATTGGGAACAGGTAATTTACGCACGTCAATGTTATGAGTTCTCACTTATTCACCGTGTTTGGTTATCTGTTTGAAACTGCAAAGGGAATAATTCTTAAAATTGTTTGGTTTTAATTCTTAAAATTGATTTATATATATTTAGATTTCTTAGTCATTATATCGTATGAATAAATAAAATGAATTTGAAAAAACATCTAAAATATATTTATTGAGTTTGAGCTAATATTTTACGAGTGTTTTCTCTCTTTCCAATTTTCATTTCTATTTTTCTCCCTGTTCTCTTTGCCAAGTATTTTCCGAGTTCCAAACGCACCCTTGATTTATCTTGGTGTTTCAATTCTTTTGTCAGGTTGGGAAACACGAAAAGATGGGCATGAATGCTATCCCACTCAAGGATCTAACCCCTGATGAAACCAAAACCATGACACTTGATCTCTTAAAGACAATGGATCCGAATGACGTTCAGAACAACAAGTCACGTGGGCAGATCACGATGGAACTAACATACAAGCCTCTCAAAGGGGAGGACGAGGTAAAAGATATTTCAGAGTCTGCAACTAACAAAGCTCCAGAAGGGACACCACCAGAAGGAGGTATGCTTACAGTAATAATCCACGGAGCTGAAGATGTTGAGGGAAAGCACCAAACTAACCCATATGCACAGATCACTTTCAAAGGGGAGGAGAGAAAGACAAAGGTAAACATTCCTGATTTTTTTTTTGCATGCTAAACATTTTCCTCTCTGATGTCATACATTTTTACTGTTCAAAAAAAGTTACTCCATATTCTGTTGGTCAATCAACATTCAGATAAAATGGTAAAAATCCATTTGTATTCCGTGTAGATTAACATTTATGCTTTCTAAACCTCTATAATTGCTTTTGCAGCAACAGAAGAAAACCAGCGATCCGAGATGGGAAGAGGAGTTTGAATTTATCTTGAAGAAGCCTCCTTTGGATGAAAAGCTGCATGTACAAGTTGTCAGTACAAGGACTTCTTTTCTGCACCATAAGGTAGTGTTTCTGAACAAAAGGAATTCAATGTCAAAGTTGTAATTGACTAAAGACCTTTTAGTCCACCAGCATTCATGGAAGGCAACAAAGATTGAATGAACTCGGTCAAATTTTTATACGATAATATGACTGTACTTAGCAGTTATATGCTTCAAATGCAATCTTTGATATGATGACAAATGATTGGTTTTATAAAATAATGAATCAGGAAACATTGGGGTACGTTGATATCAACCTCTCAGACGTGGTTCAGAATAGAAGGATCAACGAGAAGTACCATCTGATTGATTCAAAGAACGGGAAGATACAAATTGAGCTGACTTGGAATCCTACTTCTTAGTCCTTCCTCCTGAAGATGAAGATGAAGATGTCATGCATCCCCTTTTCTTACTCTTGCTGTGAGCCTAGTACTTCTGCCGCTCTATATGGCACATGTTGGAGTACATTATTATCATGTTCTTGTTGCTGTTGTCTGTATCTATTTCTTTCAATTTGTTGTTTGTTCGTGTTGTTGTGCGTTCATCTCCGGGTTCACCAAAGGTTATGCGTTGTTATCATAGGTTTTACAGAAGGGTTGTGCTTACCGCGTGTATGGATTACATACATTAGAATACATGTATAATGTTTCTTTCAAAGGATTCTGTGAAAGTAATCAGAATGAAGCCCAATCCGTTTTCACCAAGATGACAAGGGATTACTCTTTCTTAAGTAGCTTTTGCTTTAAAGATTCTTTGTTCCCTTCCAAGTGTTGTTTTTTTAATGATCAAGAGGTCATTATTGTCATTCTCAGTCTAATAATAACGGTTACATAGATTTTGTTTGCATCTCCTTAATGAGAGGTATTTTAGCCATTCTCGATTCGTTTGGCTTAACCATCCGGGATGGCAAGAGGACGCCGGTTCGATAGATATTGTCTATGTTTTGATTAAAGTTGTTCTTTTATTAAATTCAAAATTAACGTAGAAAAAAATAAAAGTACCCAAAATATATGGAGTACACTCTAAAACTATATCAAAATGTTTATAAAATATGAAGTGTTATGACTGTTACTTTTTTAAATGAGGAATGAAAATAGACAAAAAATGAATAAAACTTGATCATATAAATATTGAATCAGACCTTAATTTGGAGACTCGGGTACTAAATGTATCAGGGGGACTCTATGTTATTTACATTTACTTATACCTAAAAACACAATTTCTTCATAATAATGCCTTAATAAGTGCAGAGGAAAATGTCTAAAAAACAATAATTGTAAGAAACCAAATTTTATTTTAAAAATCCTTTACGGGTACAAGCTCTTAACTTATTCATAACAGAACTGAGAATCTCAATGGGCTTTCCACGGGCCCATCCTATACTGTCGCTTCGTGAGAAGAAGTCTCCAAAAATGGAGAGTACATTATAAAAATGGAAGACGGAGGATTTCCGTTGTTTCCCAAGTCAAAGCTCAGCGGGTTTATCCGATTTTCCGATCACTGAAAATGGCAAGGCCAATCGTCGACGCCGAGTACCTCAAGGAGATCGAGAGAGCTCGCCGGGACCTCTGCGCTTTGATCTCCAGCAAGAATTGCGCTCCTATTATGCTTCGCTTGGCGTACGCTCTTTCTCTCTGTCTCTTATTTCCTCTTTCTTTTTTTTTTGTTCCTGGCAGGAAGGTATGTAAGTTTGTTCCTGGCAGGAAGGTATGTAAGTTTGTTTAAAATCCCAAATATAGATTGAAGTAATGCTTTCTTATGGCTGTATGCCCGTATCTTTTCCTTAGATCTAATTCGTTAATCCCCATGAATTATAGGACTCCAAGGTCTCTCCAAAGGAAGGACGTCTTCCTGATGCCAAGAAAGGTTTTCCCAAAGATATACCTTCTAATTTACCATTTCTCAAAATAATTACACAGCATTTCTTTGGAATTTGGAGGGAAGGGGTGGTTCCTTTTTTGGGGGGTATGGAACCACTGAATTCGGGTTATATCTGTCTCTTCCAAGCTGTAATGCCCATGGAGAAATATGATCCTATCATGGTTTCTCTTACAAGTATTGACTGTTTATTAGTTAATTCAAATTGTGCATTTATTAACCATTTCTTTCTCAATTGAAAGAACAAATGGTCGGGAGAGAAGAAGAAGAAAAGTGGATCTTCTTGGATTTATAATTGTGTTACCTCTTGTCAGTGGTGGCCTAATTTCACTATTTTGAAGATGCCAGTTCACCAATAGGATTTATTTCAATTCTCAGGATAATGTGAAACAAAAAATGTATACACGATTTTTTGCTAGATATTAAATTGTCTCATTTTTTTCATTCTTTTAAATTTGTGAAGTGTTATCCAAAAATTGAAATTTGCAAAACACGGTGGCTGGCACGCCCCTGCTGACCACCAACGGACAGTTGTGGGCTTGTGGCATCACCTGGCTGCCCACCAAAACTGTTTCCCACCACAATCTACATATTGATTGCTAAACTTATCTGTGTTTACCCCCTGCTACCATGGCCAATGTGGAGGTTGCCGGCGGCAAAGAAAGAGTAACTCTCTGTTATTGTTCGTGTTTTTTGTTGTTGATTAGGAAAACAAACTTATGAAAGTAATGATTGGTAAATGTATTTGGAGAGATGGAAAACTAAAGAATAAAAATGAAATTGTAAAAACATGATTATATTTTCTTGTTTTTTGTATAGTTTTTTTTTTTGGTACAGCGGAAGAACTTTAGTTGAAGAGTATGATGTATCAACATTCTTCTTGAACAATCACCTTTATCTTTATATTGCAAGTGTGCTACTGTGCAAGCGCATTGCAACGCAGGTTTTTCCTCGTATATAATTCTGTGATTTCAATTCTTAATTCTGGAGGAGCACTGGAAATCTATCATTGTTTTCAATTTCATTCACTCGACGTATAATATAAGAAGACAGCATTTAAAGGTAAAGCCAAGAGCTAAACAAATAAACCAAGAAGTAAAAGGTAAAGCCTGTAAAAGGGTGGAGTGGCAAAACAACTGAAACCCCAAATCCTGGAAAATAATTGCTTCTTCTCAGATCGAAGTTCTGCTCTCCCACTTCCTATATAAGGTGTAGTAGCACAAGGTCAAGCTATATTTGAGTCTGCTGCGTCACTTTGTTTCTTTCTTTCATTCTGATCAGAGCTGTTCAGTTAATCCAAAGGCTCTCAAAGTCTACAATGGCGCAAGTTGGGTCACAGTTATGGGGCTCCTAACCACATGCTTCCCGTCGGTCCAAGAAAGCGACCCAAAAAGAGCACCCGAGTCGTCATCGAACATCCCTTCCTTGCCGCTCAGCCTGACGGTCACATAGTACTTCAGTTTCCTCACCTTCTCCGAGAACACCAGCTTCTGTGGCATCACTGTCACGCTCACTCCCTTTGGGGCCTCAACCTTGGCAGTATACACCGCATCTATCTGCCCCACGTTCGTCACTGTCCTGGAGAATGTCTTGCTCGTGCTCCCTCTAGCTGAGGTTGAAAACAGCGCTGCAATGGAGGGATAGTTCAGATCCTCGGGCAATGGCTTTCTTCTAGACGGGCAACTCACGGGCGATCTCGTGATCACCTGGATTGTCTTGGGAGAATAATCAATTGCACACAGGAAGGAAATGTAGTCTTCGTTGGTCAGATCATAGACGAGTCCAGGGTCCATTGCCAGACCCAGATTCACGTGGCCTGCACCAAAATCGTACGGAGTGGCTTTTCCACCGGTGGACTTCTCCGTCATCATGGACTGCAGTTTGTTATCAACGATGCTGGCGGTGGTCATCATGGCTGATCTTATTGCCGCCGGCGTCCAATCGGGGTGGGCGGATTTAAGCAAGGCAGCTGCACCGCTGATGTGAGGACAAGCCATGGAAGTACCAGACAAGATACTGAATTCGGTTTTCCGGGTGTCCAAATCTAATCCGGTCGGGCCGACCGCGTCCGTCCAGGCAGCCAAGATGTTCACTCCGGGGGCGATCAAGTCCGGTTTCAGTATCTCAGGGTTGAGTCCATTGGGGCCTCTGGCGGAGAAGGAAGCCACCACCGGTGCTGGTTTCACTCCGAGCACAGTCCCATAGAAGTTGATTGTTGCAGTGGCGTTTGGATTGGAAGCTAAGAAGGATTTGATGGCGTCCCCTTCGCGTGATCCGACCGAGCAAGCAGGTAAGAGGTGAGGATCCCCAACAAGGCCCTCGCCGTTGGAGGCGCCGTTGGCAAGTATCATCCCAACTCCTCCAGCTTTCTTCACCACCAGTCCCTTCGCCACCCGCGGATTGCTCCCCCGATCACATATTACAATCTTCCCACTGACTTCTTTGGGGTCGAGTGAATTCTCCATACACAGTGAAGCAGAGAGCATCCCAGATTTGCCTGGGAATACCAAGGGATACATTTTGTCCTTCAATGGAGACCCCGCGTACAGTGATACCCCAGAGAACTTCCTTCCGTCGCTCAGGATTACTTCTGCCGGGAATTTCCGGTCGATCGTGCCGGCTCCCACCGTCAGCAGCCACGGAGCAACGTTAGTGACGGACATGAGGTTAGGTCCGTCGTTGCCCGCGGATGCGGCCACAAGCACACCTCTCGAAACGGCGCCGTATGCTCCTATGGCGATAGGATCCAGGTAATAGGGCGACGAGACGCCCTCGCCTCCACCAATCGAGATCGAAATAACATCCACACCGTCCGCAACCGCCGCGTTGAAAGCGGCGAGGATGTCGGAGTCCATACAACCGCCGTCCTTCCAGCAGACTTTGTAGATAGCCAATCGAGCTTTGGGGGCAACACCTTTAGCGATTCCAGAGGCGTAACCCGACATACTAGCTTGGAAAGCGTGCCTTCCGGCGGCCGTCGACGCCGTGTGAGTGCCGTGGCCATCCGCATCTCGAGGGGACCGGAACTCCACCGTATCGTTAATACCGCCGCCGAATGCTCTCGCCTCATGGCCTTTCGAGAAAAATCGAGCTCCAACGATTTTCCTATTACAATTACGAGCGGTGAATTTCACACCTGTTTCGCAAACCCCCTTCCAACGGGCAGGAACGGGGCCGAGATTCAGATCGGAGAAGCTTCTCCTCTCCGGCCAAACTCCGGTATCGAAAACCCCAATTATAACATCGGAGCCGTAATCAGATTCGGACCAGAGACCGCGCTGGTTGCTGAGCCCTAGAAATTGAGGCGATCTAGTGGTGTGAAGCTGCCTCCGGCGGTCCTCGAAAGATGCGAGGACGGATGGGTGCCGGAGCACCGAAGCGGCCTGCGACGGACTGAGGGAGGCTGAGAAACCATGAAAAACGGTGTCATAAACGTGAAGGATGTGTGCTGGCTCGGCAAATTCGGAAGAGTACCAGTGGTAATGGGTAGGGAAAATCGCCGGCTTCGTGTGGCTGTCGACTCGAAATATATACGTTTTAGCCGGCTGATCAGCCGACGCAGCGGCGATTTCAGCCGGAATTGTGAGAACGAAGACGACGAGACTGAAGAAGAAGAAAGAGTGAGAAAATGTCGCCATGGAGAGTGTAGAGAGAGAGAGAGAGAGAGGGAGAGAGGAGTTAATTGAGATTTGAGTGGGGGCATTACCGACAAGGGAGCGGTGTTTATAGGAGCATAATTATTTTTAAGTGTTAAACAGCCGATCAAAAAATGAATTAATAACGGCACAGTACTCCGTGTTAATTAAAGTATAGAGATCTGATATGATTCTGTCGTCGTAAGTAAAGGCGGAGCCAGTTGATGATTGACGAGCCGGCCCACATTTTACGGGGACATTGGCCTTATCCGGGGAGTCCATGGCTTAGACAGATTATACGATTAAATTGGATTTTGATTATAGATTGATTACAAGTAGTACAACTAATATTAGGTATTTGGTGAGATGAAGAGATTATATCCTTAATATACTTATGTTCTATTATAGTTTTAGGTATTCAAACCTTTTAATATTTAAAGTATTTGTCAATTGCGCAACGTTCATTAACACATTATCCATATCCCAAGTTTAATAAAAGGTGGAAAACTATACCTCCTTTTGTTCCAATTTATCTTTTGTTTGAATAAGAAAAGAAAAGTGAGAAAAACTAAATTATGAATAAAATATAGAAAAAGAATCAAAATAAGACTTCTATGTTATTCTTTAAAAAATTCAAAATTTACGTAGTATTTTTTTAATCTGCACTGATCCAATAAAAAAAATCAACCCTGTCCATTTTCCGTGAGAGTATCACAGTGCCACGTTATACAATCTCTATGAGAACTACAATGTCAAAGATATAATATATATTTGTGGTTTTTAAGGAGAGTTGAAAAAAGGTGAAAGTCTATCATAATACCTTTAATGAAAATGGATGGAGTGTATTAAATGAGGTTGGTGAGGTGTAATAAATAAAGTAAGTGGAGGTAGTTGTGGTATTTTAATTGTTAAAAAATAAATAGGAAGATCTATTGTAGACAAAGAAAAAAGGCATTTGGAAAGATCTATGGGGAACGGGAGGAGTACCAAATATGTCAATTATGCTAGAACATAAAAAAAATTTGTAAATTGTTATAGTTTTTTAAAAAAAATTAGACAAATATCTAACAAAAGTGTACTGTTATATTTTTTAAAAAATAAAGTTAAAATTTAAAATTAAAAAAAGAAAAAAGTAAATTTGCTTAAAATAATCACTTCTTTCATTTATTTGCGAAAAACATGTATTTTTCAAAAAAATTTGTAAAATGAGCGTTAGCTTTTTAACGGCGACGCAAAACTCGCATACATGCGGAAATGTGAGATTATTTCCGGTGACAGAGCAAATTGAAATTATTTTTGAAAAAGTATGAAGAAAAAAGATTATTTTAGATAATTTTTCGTTTGCTAAATGAGGGAGTGAGTTTTGAATGAATTAACCAACGAGGACATGCTTTTGTTATGGAGTGCTTATATGCCGCACCTTGGGTGCATACTATTTTTGTGGATTTTCTCAAGTAATTTTATGAATTTTTTTTATTTTAAAAAATAAATATTTATCTAAGTAGTATATAAATATTTTTTTTGCTCATATGTAGGTCAATGATAAACATTAAGTCCACCATAAACTTACATTTTTCGTTGTCACGGAAAATAAACTTACATGTTCTCATGTGTGCGAGTTTTAAGTCACCATTAGATTGCTAATGGTTACTTAACGAAACTTTTAGAGAATGCTTGTTTTTTGTAAACAAAGGAAGGTTAGATTATTTTAAATTAATTCTATTTTTTTCATCTTTTTAATTATTTTTTTAAAAAATATTTTTATAAATAGTACCGAATTTAAGTCTTTCTCAGAGTGACACTAATTATTTTTTTCAATATTCTATAATATGGTAATAATTATTTTTCCAAAACAATATTATAAAAGTTTTGAAACTACACAGTAAATTATTGTACAAAATGGAAGTAATTCTTCAATAAAAATATTTAGTGTCACTATAGGAAAAAACATTAAATTTGGTATTATTTATAAAAGCATTTTGAAAAAATACATTTAAATTCAAAATTAAAAATAAAAAAAGAAAAAAGAGAATCTGGTTATAATTATTCTCTCCAAAATAATATTACAAAAGTTGTGAAATTGCACAATAAATTATTCAAAATGGAACTAATTTATTTACTTCATAACTCATTACTTTTTTCTAAGTTGCAATTGTTTTGTTGAGGGACACTTCGAATTGTTTTTAACTACTCCCTCCGTTCCATAAAACCCTTCCTCTTTCATTTTTTTTGCTTTCCACAAAACACTTCCACTTTCTATAAAAAAACCACTTTTACCCCTACTTTTTCATACCCTACCTATCACATCATACTGTTTCACTAATAACTAAACTATCACATCTTACTTTTTCCCATCACATCAGGGGCAAAATTGGAAAGTCAACCAAAATTACACTTTCCTTATTTTTCCCCAAAGTCAAAACCGGAAGGGTTTTGTGAAACGTAGGGAGTAATACACTATTAGTATATTTTTTTAAAATGACACTACAAATTTTGTGAATATTTTTCGATAATTCACTATAATGTTTTTTGCAAAATAACATTACAATAGTTGTAAAAATGACCCAATAACTTTTTTTAAATGAAACTATTATTTTTATAACTCACTATGATTTTTTTATTGCAATTGTTTTCATTAACAACACTCCTAAATGTTTATCGATAATCATCTATTTCCTGTATTATTTTTCCAAAATGGCCTTATAAAATTTTTGATTTTTTTAAATTCAGTTACAATTTTTTCCCGCAAAATAACAATTCAAAAGTTGTGAAAATGGCACAACAATTATTTTTGTCGAAAATGACACACTCACTAAAAACAATTTGCATTGCAATTTCTTTCTTGACCGATATTTTAAATTATTTTCCGATAATCCACTATTATATTTCTCCCAAAATATAGTACAAAATTTGGAAATGGAGACAAATCTATCTCTAACAAGAATGTATTGTTATATTTTTGAAACATAAATTTAAAATTAAAAATTAAAAAATGAAAAAAGTGAATTAATTTAAAATACTTTCACCTTTCATTTATTTGCGAAAAACATGCATTTTGAAAAAGAATTCGTTAAGTGACTGATAGCTTAACGGTTATGCAAAACTGCACACATGCAGAAATGTGAGATTATTTCTCGTGACAGTAAAATGAGAGATTATTTTTGGAAAAATATGAAAATGTGAGATTATTTAACATTATTTTTTCCTTATTATTTACATCTAATGGTATGTGACTACAAAAAATCCTACTTATATACGGAGTATCAACTAAGTGAGAAGATGAAATAAACATAAACTTGCTCTAACATTTAAGCATATCTAAAAAATTAACATGCTTGTGATCAATTCCAGTAAATTTTTTCTAAAGAGATTTTACCAAAATAAACTTCATTGACATTAAATACTAATTGAGGAAACAAATTTCATTGATAAATATTTTGGGACAGATGAAGTAATTAATAAGAATAAACGACATTTTTTAATAAAAAAAGGGAGAAATACGAAAATAGCACTTTAATAGCACTTTAATACTCAAAATAGCAGTGCTATTAGTTTTTGAGATGAATTCCCTTTTTTGTCCTTAAATAAACACTTAAAATTGAATTCTCCCTAATTAGGTTAAGAAAAAGGTTTTAGGGGCCAAACGCAGTAGCCGAACGCAAGCCTCACGCGATATTCCTTGGATGATTCCTCGTCACACTGCCAAACGCAAGCCCAACGCAAGCCGAACGCAGCAGCTTTCGGAAGGAGACCTAGGGTTTCAATGGCAAGCGAAGGTGCACTAGACGAGATCCCTCTAAGCAAAAGATTGGAGAAGATACAGGTATGATTCGTTTTGGCAGTGAGTTTGTTTTTAAAAAATATTCTCTTACAAAGTTTAGAAAAAGTTTTTTTCGGGTTGGCAGTGTGTTTTTTGTTGAAGGTTCACTGCAATGTGTGTTTTAATTATTTTCTGCAGTGTGTTTTTTGAATTGTTTCCCTTAGGTTCTCTGCAGTGTGTTTTAATTTTTAAGGTGGCAGTGTTTTTTTGATCAACGTAATGAATTTTTTTGGCTTTGTTGAACACGTTTAGGGTTTTTTGTGAATGTTAGACGTAATTCATTGCTTTTTTTTGGATTTTCGTTTTTTTTTTTGGGTTTTTCGTTTTTTGGGCTGCTACTGGCTATTTACGCTGTGATGAGGAAGAGGAGGCAAAATTTTGGTTTGTTCCTTCTAAAATAAATCTGATGCGTGCTAGCGTGAAGGAATAAATGGCTTTCCATCTGAAACTAAAAATTTAGTTTTAATTTATTATTGGACCATTCCATATTTCCAATGGCTACAATTTAGTTTTAATTTATTATTTTTCTTGGTGTTTTTGTTTGTGGGTGTGTGTGTTTTTTTGGGCAGTGTCGTTTTTAAGGGTTTATGTATTTGAAAGTTAGACGTAATTGATATTTTTTGGTTTTTTCTGTTTTCGCAGAGTATTTTTTGGGATTTTTCGTACTCCACTGAAAATAATTGTTTTTTTGTGTTTTTGGTTTTTTGTTTTATTGGGCAGTGTAGTGTTTAATTGTTTCGTAACGGGTCTAGAAATAAAGTATTCTACGCTTAATGAAAACAGTAGTTTTTTGGATTCCAAGTTACGTTACTAAAGTGATCAAACTGACAAAGTTTTTTTGGGTTTTTTGCATTAGGAGGTATAAAATAGTTTTTTTTTGGATTTTTTGGATTCCAAGAAACATTTGTTGTTAGTGTGTTTTTTTGGCTTTTTTGTTCTCTAGTGAAACATATTTGTTTTTTTGGGTTTTGTTGTTTTTTGGTTGTGGGTTTTTTTGGCTTTATATATGGGTTTTTTGCAGAGGCACTTGGTTTTTTTTTTTGAATTGTTGGCCGTGTGTTTAAATTGTTGTTGGCAGTGTGGTTTTTTTGAATTGATGGCAGTGGGTTTAGAAAAGGATAGGAGAATGATGAAAGCATTGAATTTCTCTACTGTTTGGCAATGGGTTTAAATTGTTGTTTTGCATTGATTTTGAACTATTTGGCAGTGCATTCGAAATAACATCTATGTCAGTTGTTCTTGGTTTTTAATCACTGGATACATTCTTTTGGTTTATTTTTTGATTTAATAAATTCCGGTTAAAATTTGATTGATTCCGCTTAGTATAAGGAAAAATGTATTT